TGGGCACCCTAATTCCACTTTTGCCATCTTTACTGTTCCCAGGCTACGAGAAAAATTCTGGAGGCATTATCTAAGGATAGGTCACCAAATCCAGGAAATGCAATTAAAGGCCTAAGAAGAACCATCTGGTAAAATTAATGTGTTTATCAGAGAGTATACTCCGCTTTTACTATTCTACGTAGCATTGTACTGAATGAGTGCAGCTGTTTCCCTAAGTAGGCACATGCGAATAGCAGGAGACATCCAAACAAAACCAACAGCCCGATGCAAAATCCAGCCGTGAAGCCTGAACGCCCTGCAGAAACGTTAGCAGTTTCTTCCTCCCGCCGGTCAGCCTGGGAGCCATTTAAGAGGAGGAAGGATAAAATCAGGAAAACAATCTTAGCAGCAAAAGGAATTACTTAAACAAAGCCAAAGTAAACTCAGCTTCAGTGACCAAAAGCTTCCTCTCTCCTAGGCATGTGAGAAACATCAATGTCAGTGACTATTTTAAAAGACTGCTTCATTTTCTAGTAACACAATGTAAAGGATAGTTGATTAATCTGCATTAGGATGCTAATCATTAAGCGTCTCAGTGGCTTACCGTAAAGAAGTATGCACTGATTTTGGTAGAAGAATGTTTTCCTGTCTGTCTCAATCCCCACTTCCCTGTCTCCTCTTCATGTGATGTGGGTCCCCTACCATAGGGATGGTCACATGACCTGAGCTAGCCCAGGTATCCCATGCCCAAAACTTAGTTCCAGGGATGGGAATAGGATCCAAACAAGACCACGGTATAGTCTGTCTGGGATTGGAACAGTCACTGGGTGTATCAGTTTCATAGGACTGATGTAACATATCACACAAACTGGTTGGTGTCCTGTTGAACACAAACAAGAGAAATTTATTCTCTCACAGTTCTGGAGGCCAGAAATCCAAAATCAATGTGTCGGTAGACTTTCCCTCCAAAGTCTCTGAGGGAGGGAAACTTCCATGCCTCTTCCTGGTTTCTGCAAGTTGCCAGCAATCCTTGGTGTTCCTTGGCTCATAGCTGCATCACTCTAGTCTCCGCCTCCGCCTCCACATGGGCTGCCTTCCCCCTGTCTGTGTCTTCACATGGTGCTCTCTGTGTGGGTCCCCAGTCACAATGGATTAGGGCCTATTCTACTCCACTGTGAACTCTTCTAAACTTACATCTTAATTAGATCTGCAAAGACTCTCTTTCCAAAGAAGGTTACATCACAGGAACCTGGGGTACCTTTAATAAATCTTTTTTGAGGGTGCAATTCAACCTACATCACCAGGTCAGAGAGTCTCTCCCACTATGGCTGCGAGCTCAAAGCCACAGTAAGCCTGCTCAACTTTCCGAGATGGAAGTGAGCAGAATCTAGAGCTGGAGGAAGATGGGAAAGGCAGGGTCCTGTTACTGATTCCCTGGAATGAAGCCACATCTGAACCCCAGGCCACCTCTTGGATTTCCCAGTAACATGACTAACGAAATACCTTTCTGATTGAAATGTATTTAGTTTGGGTTTCTGTCGCTTACAACCAAGAGTTTCCATTAATATATCCACCAACGAACAATGCTCTATAATGTGAATTCAAGTAGTTTCCCATAATCTGGGTGGGACAGAGGATGGAAGAATTTATGAAAAAGATTGGCCATGGGCTAATAATTATTGAAATTAGGTGGATACATAGGAGTGTATCTCACTATTATACTATTTTCTCTACTTTTACCTATGTTAGAAATTTTCCAAAAAATCAGTAAAATCAAATGTTCAAAAAATAAGTTCTTCCAGGTCTTATAATTAAAGTCTATAACAAATAGAGAGGAAAATATAACACAAAAAGCAGACTCATATATAAGCCAGACAACAGTAGGCAACCACATGTAATACATGAAAACATCAGCAAAGTTTTCTTTGTGTTCTGCATAGGGCTATCAATATTGGACCCGCATCGAACAGACATCAAGGTCTTAGACAACAGCAGCTGGCTGATAGCCACCCCAGACTACATAGAAAGGTCTGGCAAGGCAGCTTCTGCTCCTGGGGAAATAACAGAATGCACACTGCTCAGAGTAGTGTGAAATTCATCTTTCCTCCCAGGTAATCACAATAAAACAACTATTTTCCACAGCCAGCCATAAAGCAAGGGTGCAGCTCAGACAAAAGACAGGGTCACTTCTTCTCTAAATGTTCACTGACAAGCATTGGTGTTCTGACACAATATTTCATGATGCATCGAATACCCATGATTCTATCCCTTGATGTAGGCTAGAGTCATCCCTTCTTGGATTGGAAGTTCTCCACCCTAGCTACTCATAAGAATCACCTGGGATCTTTAAAAAATTGTGATGTCCAGGCTGCACCCCAGACCAATTAAATCACAATCTCTTGGGAGGGGTACAGGGATCAGTGTCTCTAGGAGGCTCCTCAGTGATCTAATGAGCAACTAGGGCTGAGAACCACTGCGCTGGACAGATCTACATCTGTGAGGCAGTTGCTCACTTTGGATACATGCCCCACGTCTCTAAGGTAGCCACCACTAACAGTCAGAGCAAACTCACTTCTTCATCTACTCTAGTGAGTAAATCTCAACCAATCTAGAACCTTGCTCCTTCTTCTTTGTGCTAGTTTCCTTGAGGCTGCATGACAAAATACCATAAACTTGGTGACTTCAAAAGAGAAATTTATCCTCACAGTTGTAGAGGCTGGGAGCCTGAAACCAAGGTATTGGCAGAGCTATGCCCACTTCGAAGGTTCTAGGCAAGGATACTTCCTTGTTTCTTCCTAGCTTTTGGTGGCTTCCAGTAATCCTTGCTGTTTCCTGGTAGAAGCATCACTCCAATCTCCGTCTGCATCATCACTTGGCATCCTCCCTGTATGTCTGTGTCCTTGCTCCTCTTCTTATGGGAACACCAGTCATTCCAGATTAAGAGCCCACCCTTCTCCAGTATGAAGGCAGCATAACTGATTACTTCTGTAATGGTTCTATTTCCAAATAAGGTCACATTCTAAGGTTCCAGGAAGAATACTGATTTGGGTGGCGGGTGGGGGAAGTATTTAACTCAGTACACTTTTCTTCACCCATATTAAGTTAGTCTTACACTTTGTCTTCACCAGAATGCATGTAAGACATAGTTAATTGGGAGTACGGTGCCTTTAAGAAATGTTACTTTGAAATCATTTTAGATTTATAGGAAAGTTACAAAGATAGTACAGAAGTTCCTATATACTCTTTACCCAGCTTCTCCTGATGTTAACAAAACCATTTATAGGCCTGGTGCAGTGGTTCGCCTCTGCAATCCCAGCACTTTGGGAGGCCCAGGTGGGTGGATCACTTGAGGTCAAAAGTTTGAGACCAGCCTGGCCAACATGGCAAAACCCCGTCTCTACTAACAATACAAAAATTAGTTGGGTGTGGTGGCGGGCACCTGTAATCCCAGCTACTCAGGAGGCTGAGGCAGGAGAATCGCTTGAACCCAAGAGGTGGAGGTTGCAGTGAGCCAAGATCATGCCACCACACTCGACTTTATCTCAAAAACAAAACGAAAACAAAAAACAAACCATTTATAAAAACTAAGACATTAACACTGGTATAATACTATTAACTAAACTATGCACTTCATGCCTATTTCACCAAGTTTTCCAACAATGCCCTTTATCTGTTTCAAGATCCAAATAGGGATACCACCTTAAATTTAACAATACTCTAAAGAACGACAAAGGTCAGAACCAAACTCTCTACAGAATCAAATCAAAACTTCACTTTGGCATCCTTCTTTTGCTTACCCACCACCCTGTTCCCCACCCTTGTATTTGCACTCAGCAGGCTCTATGTTTCCTCTGTACATCCTTCCTGCTTGAATTTGATAGTCTCAATTTTTTAGGCAAGTTAGTTCTTAACAATTTTGAGGTCATGGGACCACTCTGAGAATCTAGTAGAAGCTACAGAGTCTCTGAGAACACAGCACAGATAAAAACTATTTAGCATCCAATTTCAGAGCAGTCAGATACTAATCCACTTCCCTCCTCCCCAAGGGCTTCTACCTAAGTATAGAACCACCTTGCACAGTTTGGCTTCCCCAGGCATTGATTCTTCAATGAAATCAGCACAACTCACTAGCAATCCCTCTTCCAAGACAATTTCTCCAGATCCTGGACATAGGGCAGTGCTCCATACTTTGGGTATTGGCCAACCTTAGCTGTCCCAGCCTCTGCCTCGGGCTGAGGCTGAGAAGGACTGGCTGGGCAGAGCTCTTCAGCTGGGCCCTGAAGGCAGCTGGACTCCCTCTCCAGCCAATGTGGCTGTCAGCACAGACCCCCACAAGTTTTGCTTGACCCAACACTTCTTCTGAGCCCATTTTCTCCATGGGTGGGAAGAAACATCTCAGAATGTTAAAACTTCTCAGTCCACAAGCCATGTTATCATCTGGGTTTTGACAAAGAAAAGTGACTCCAGCATCCAGAGTGAGATCAACGAGCTGTGTCCACTTTGGATCTCATGTCATTTGGAAAAGACGGGGACCTTGGACTCAAGGCAATGCCTGCCTACTATTCTTTGTCTTTGGAATCGGCATGTGAGGCCCCCTACAGGTGAGAACCATATAACTGTACAATCTCACATGTTCTCTTAAGCTCCCATATCAGCCTTGTGGCATGAACCAAGGAAAGGGAAACTCCATCTCCACTCTCGACTCACAACCCTATGTTTGAACCTCTTCTCCAGCTGATTCCTTGAACCCTGTTCCATCCCCCTCACCTTGCCATCCTCGGATGTTGCCTGTTTCAATGCCTCATCCATCTGACTCATGCTGAAGATGGTCCAGGTGTCACCTGAGCTATGCTACTTTAGTAAAGACCCATGCAAGCTTCTCTTTGCCCTGGAGTCATACTTTCTCCCCTATGACACCCCCAGCCAGGATCACACCAATACCTCCAACATCAATCAGAAGTCAGCAAGAATGGAAAACAGACAAAAATAACTTCTACGGACAGGGCTGCATCTATTCTTACCTTCTGCAAATGGCTCCCATTCATAAAACCGGCCCATAAATGGCTTGTTATTGTAGGATGCACACTGCACCTCCCGGATGCTTCTACTGCTTTCCGGACATACCTAATAAAGCAGATAATAAATATGCAATTAGTGTCCATACTTTTCATAGCTCCAGGATACCTTTCCAAGCCCTGGGTACCCTTCCAACTTTATTTTATTTATTTATTTATTTTGAGATGGAGTCTCACTCTTGTCACCCAGGCTGGAGTGCAGTGGTGTGATCCTGGCCCACTGCAACCAATGCCTCCCAGGTTTGAATGATTCTCCTGCCTCAGCCTCCAGAGTAGCTGGGATTACAGGTGCATGCCACCACACCCAGCTAATTTTTTGTATTTTTAGTAGAGACAGGGTTACCCCATATTGGCAGGTTCATCTTGAACTCCAGACCTCAAGTAATCTACCTCGGCCTCCTGAAGTGCTAGGATTACAGGCATGAGACACTGCACCTGGCCAATTGTCACTTTCATTACAAAAATATTACATGTTTATTATAAAAAAATTAAAAAATACAAATAGACTAAAAGTTAATTCTGAATTAAAAACATCTATAACCTCACCTTCCACGGATAACACTTTTAACCTCTCTCTGTGTATACACACACACACTCTCCACACACATCATCCTTTTCACACTTTTGTAACTCAGTGGATTGTGGACTCCTTTCCAAGTCATGAAATATTTATGTTGTCAAGTACTGAGCAATTCTAGATGATTTTGAAGGTGTATTTGTTTGTGGTCTAGCCTATTAGCAATTTTACTCATTGAGAGAAAGGGGTTAAGCAGACTGTCTAAGCCTTTGTGGTCTACAGGCTTCCAGTTCTGGTAACTGCCACCAGGTTAACGCAGAGTGGCTCCTGGCTACAGCCTGCTTATGGAGCACTTTGGTTTTACTTAGGTCTAGTTATCTGAGGAATGGGACCTTCAGCCCACTTGCGCTGGTGTGTTTCTGTTATGAAAACCTGCAGTCCAGCAGCTGATCTCTAGTTCTGATTACGGACAGGGTGGGCCATCAGCACTCTGGGGTCTGCTTCTTGTCACTGTGGGGCCTTTGGCGAGGCATGCCACATCTCCAGGTCTCAATTTCCTCATCTGTAAATGAAAGGGGTTGGCTTTGATTCTCTTTCGCTCTAGGACTCTGTGATTCCATGTTAAGTAATTTGGAGTGGAGTGAGATGGTGTTTGGGCGTGGCTCTACATTGCTGCTGCACAGGTTAGGATGCACAGGCCGCACCAGAATCACCCAAAGGACCACTTCGGGCATATATTCCTGGGCAATCTTCCCCACTCTCCTGCCAGAGTCGGACTTGAGAATCTGTATTTTTAACAAACTCCTTAAGGTTTTCTTTCTCGAAGTTGTAGATGGGGACTGCTACAGGGATGGTGCCCTCTACAAGTCACCCAGCTGTTCACATCCTACTCGAACTTTGGCTCAGGCCAAAGGGTGGTGAAAAGCATGTTAACTCAAAATGCTTCATGGAGACAGCTGGTGTTGCTGGAAGTTTACATGGGTCCAGAAAACCCATGTAAGGGTTGCCAGAAGATTGGCTTCCAGAGCCCTAGGAGACAGGCTTCCGTGGCCTGTCTACCTCTCACTAACTGTCAGAGCTCAGCCCACCCTGCTCGTTCACCCTGCCTGCTTTTTCCTACCAGTTTCCATCATGTTCTGCTTTAGAGGGCTTCTTGCTCCATATGGTTTGGGAATGACCATCCTGCACATTTGTACCAGCAGTCTCCCCAACTATGACCGTCCTTAATCAAGCAGGAGATGTTTTCCCTCACACCTATTTTCAGTCCTTCCTCTGGTCCCTTGTCTTCCAGGAGACCTAATATTTCTGATACATACAGTAGATTTCTCTACAAATCCTTGAAGACTTTGAACTATGCTATTATCAGTGTATTCCAGAGACTTCTATACAGTGCTGTTTAATGTTTCAGGGGCCAGGTTCCTTTTCCTTCTGATTATTCACACACACACACACACACACACACACACACACACACACACGTTCAACAAAGCTAGATCATACTTTATCCACAGTATGAATTAGAGATTCTGATCTTATTTTCTGTCTCATACTTATTTACTTTATAATCACATTTTGCTCATATTTACACTTATAAATGAGGAAGAAAGAAGTCAGAGGGAGCTGTATGTTTTTCTTGAGTAGTGCATCAGAATCACCTGGATAAACTTGATAAAATACAGATTCCTGGATCTCATCCCAGATTTACTGAATCATAATCCTTAAGGGAGGGATCCAGAAGTTTGCATTTCCAAAAAGATCTCTGGGTGATTCTTTTGCATGCCGAAGCTCGGAAATTCCTGCTTTAGGTGGGACAGAATTTGGACTAGAATTTAGAGAAGATGGGGTGGACAGTGAGAGGCAGCCTGGTGGGGACCAGGCTGCTTGGGTTTAAATCCAGGCCCCACACCTCACTGGCTGTGGGACTCCTCCATGCCTCAGTTTGTTCTCTGTGAAAAATCTGTAAAACTACAGTGTTTACCTCATTGGGTGTTGTGAAGATTAAATGAGTCAATAGGTGTAACATGTTTAAAATAGTGCTTGGCACAGGTAAGGGCTCTGAACATGACTGCTGTGGCTGCCATTTCATGGAAGGGGAATGGCATGAACAAAGTCAAACAGAAACAGATGGCCTCTTTGAGAGAACGGAGTAGACGGACTTGTCAGGAGCAGAAGGTTTAGATCAGCAGTTTTCAAATCATAGTGTGCAAAAAATTAACCTGGGAGCTTGCTAAAAATTTTTGCCCCTATAATCATTCTGAGTTGTTATACGTGAAGCTTGGGAATCTGCATTTCAACTTTTTGATGCAGGTTATGAACACATGTTAAGAAACCCAGTAGGTTAGGTAGAAGACAGCTGGTATTTAAAGTTGGAAAGAGGCCAGGCATGGTGGCTCATGCCTGTAATCCCAGCACTTTGGGAGGCCAACGCAGGTGGATTATCTGAGGTCAGGAGTTCGAGATCAGCCTGGCCAACATGGTGGAAACCTGTCTCTACTAATAATACAGAATCACTTGAACCCGGGGGGCAGAGGTTGCAATGAGCTGAGATCATGCCTCAGTACTCCAGCCTGGGCGACAAAGCAAGACTGTCTCAAAAAAAAAAAAAAGAAAAAAAAAGTGACAATGTAACAGTATTGAGATCTTTCAAATACACTGGCCCTTCGCCAGCTTTGCACTCTTGCAGTTTATAATCTTAGGGTATGACTTAATATTCCACTCATGCCCAGTGCTCTTACATCCACACACATCTGCCAATCCAACTTATAATGGGTCATCCAGGATACCCTGTTCCTTGGTCACCAGTAAGTCCTTTACATCTAAGTGTAGTCTGATTCCCACCTAAGGCAGAAGAGCTTAACATGGCATCAGAGCCACAGTGATCAACAGATCCACCTGCAGTTGCCAGGAGTCAACTGAGCCCAGCAGGAGGTAACAAGGTATCCTGGTGGAGGGACACCCGTCTGTGACTCCAGCAAGGTCTCATGTAATGCTAGGCAAACTGCCAAGTCAGAGGCTGGGCACTACTTCCTGGAGGGCAGAGGGACACGGTCAGAGAAATGCAAGGCTTCTTGGACCCGGATGTGGAAGTGGCTTATTGAGGCAGCATTATGATACAGCTAAGGAAGGCAGAAGCCTGGAGTGATGATGATGATGATGATGATGATGATGAATGATAATGATACCTAACTTTTACTGAACATTTATTAAATGTTAAACATTCCACTATGTGATTTACATACATTCAGCTCATTTAATCCTCACAATAACTATTATATACCCATTTTACAGATGAGGAATCCAAAGCAACGAAAAAATGAGCTGCATATAGTCACAGAGCTTGTAAGTGGTGAAATCGTGATTTGAATCCTGACACTGCATCTAGAATCCATCACAGCAACCACTATGCCAGGGTACCCTTTGTGACTGTGTAGACAACAAAGTTAATTTGTGATGGGTCCTCAGACAAGAGAGCCTTAACTGTGTCTTATCTACAGTCAGGATAGGTCTAGAGGCCAAAACTGGATTCAGCCCCCAAGGCTTGGTGAAGTGGCTGGCCCCAGCTACAAGGAGCAGGGAGCTGCGGAGTGAGGATGGAAACCAAGCAGGGCCTGGGAAATCCTGTTTCATGTCTCTTTTATAGATTACATCTGTTTGTACTTGTCATACTATTATCGGGATGTGATCTCCTCTCATTTTAACAGACTCTCTGAAGTTAAAACTTCCAGGTCACAGATCCTTTTACATTTGTTAGGTTTTAAATTGGTTGTTTCCTGATGTCATGGACTGAGTCACCTTCACCTTATCAGTAATCGTCTGTACATTGCACTGTGAACCTTTCCACGGGCACAGATTCTTGTAATCCTCAGCCCAGAAAACTGAGACAGGAGAAAAACCATGTAGATAGAGATCAGGCTCATTCAGGATGAGTCCCACAAAGTCTGGAGATTTAGAGCCAAGTAACGTCCCTGGGAGATAACCTCCCTTCAAATGACTCCCTTCCACCCAAAAGAGGGAGGGATGTTTCCACTGGACTTTTAATGGAAGAGAAATAAAGACAAACTTTAATGTGATTAGCTGAATCCTTATAAAGCAATATGAGCCCTATCCAAAGTTCCATCTAGACAATTGCCTGGGGTTGCTATGAGTCACAAATAGCATTATGGAAACTTTGGCTACATTTCTAGTGACCCTGGTTAATCTGAAATGACAACTGACTATACCTAACTTCACTTCTCAAGAAGCCACCATCAGTGATCACACACTTACCTTTTGGTAATTAATTACTTTCACCTCCCCGAGAGATGAACAGCATCATGTCCTATGTACTGGTGCCCAGGAACATGACCTTGAAGTCTGCCTGCATCAGATATGCAATTTTTTTTATCCTTTGCATTGCTCTGGATTCAATCAAAAGACCCACTACCATAGCAACAGATGATGTAGTTAACATCACCACAGTCATGAGCTCTTTAAAAAAATGAAATCTAGAAAATGTCTCTGCACTGTCATGAGAAAGTGGCTCTGTGACCTTG